TCAAGTCAAGGCTCCCCCCCACTCGTTGCCCAGAGCCTTTACTTTCCATGTTTTTAGTCAAATGCGCGCTAGAGCGCTACAACTAGCACTTTTTTCTCTGAGAGGCTCGCTTCTTCCCGCCCCTTATTGAAAAAAAAGCGCGTTAGCGCTTTTACTTTTATTTATTATATAATACCTTCTTTCTACTTCTTTCTCAAAGTAAAGCAAGCAACCTTTCGCCTTTATTTTTTTGAGGAGATATAAAAAGAAGCAACCTTACTAAGCAAACGTGGGCTTGGGCTCGAAAGCAAGAAGCAACGGCTTTCGCACTTGTTGGAGCTATTAAGCATCTTAGACTATTCCATTCCATTTTGCAGCTGGACAGAAAAGTGGAAACTTTCTGCGGGATCCTCTTTCTGCGGGATGCTCTTTTGCGCTACGATGGATTTTTTTACTCTTTAAGTGCGCTACTCCTTCTTTTGTCCTGTATCTGTAGCTGCTTTTCCCGCACTCTCTTTTATCCCGCCGAAGGTCCCCCTTACGTAATAGGGGTTAAGTTAAGGGGGGTACACACCGTGGTCAAATCTGCATGAAAAACCGCGGGGAATCCTTAGTATTAAGTATTATGCTCCCGCACCGCTATCTCTTAAAGGCTCTGCGCTCCCGCATTCTGATTGATCCTGTGCAATGTTGTAATCCTGCTGTTCCTTTATCACCCGCTCCGCAGCTGCTGGAGACTTAGTCAGATTTTTAGCCTTTTGCGGTACTGATTGATGTTATGGGGGATTACTTGGGTTGGCCGGACTGTTTGTTTGCGAAGGCCGAAGGACTAAAAAATGAGGTTTTTGATGTTATTGGACAGAATTGGTGCCGTTTTCCCACGCCTCCTTTTCCATAATATGATTATGAGCTGCAGAACGCTTGAAGCTGGAATTTGAGCATTTAATTTTGAACACAGGCCAAACTACGCTCCTAGGCTCCCTTCTTCGAGGTTAATTCCCCCAGATCAAATGACAAGGAGCCAAAAGCGAAGATGGCAGTGGAGGAATCTGATGGCTAGGCGAATGGGGGGTTGAATACTCCGAGTCAACAGGGTTGGTTGGAAAGCCTCAGAAGAGCCGTGATAAAGAACAGCCTCAGAATAAGGAGCCCGAAGGGAAATAAAAATGGGATATGGATCAAATCCTCCTCCCCCAAAATGTACCAAACTCAACATAGATGGATCAACTACTATGGGAGAGAGTGCAGGTGGTGGTATCCTGAGAAAGAGTTCAGGTCAAATTTTTTATTTTTTCCTTCTCTTCATTCTATCACAATGGTACTAACATGATGGCTGAGACTAGAGCTCTCAAAGATGGGTTCAAACTATGTTCTGATAAGGGCATCCAAGTGAATGACATCGAATCTGATTCCAAAGTTATGGTGGACTCCATCCTTGGTCTTATATCCACCCCTTGACATGTGCTTTACTTGATCAGAGAATGCATCAACTTATTGTCTTCTGGCATGATGGTTTCTCACATCTATAGACAAGGCAACTGAATTGCAGACAGACTGGCTTCTCATGCTTACTCTCATAGGTCTGATTGCATCGTTGAAGCTGCTTCTTCTCTCTTGCAAAAAATCCTACTACAATGACAAGGAAGGCCTTTACTCTTATTCCTGTTCCCGGAATGCTTTCTTTCATCAATGTCACGTAAGAAATAGAAAACGTGCTTAGTCGGCGGGGATAAGATTCTATTCTCAGAGTCAGAACTACTCCTATGCAAGGCTGTCGTCTCATGCTACTAGGGCGGCTCCCTTCTCTTTAATCAATTAGGGGTGGTAGGCACCTGTAAAGAAGATCGCTTCTATTACTACACAAGTCGATAAGTCCGAACTCTAACAACTTCAAGGACTAGGAAGGCCCCTTTTTACTCATCCAGATTTCCCTTTCATATAGGTGCTCCAGAAAGAAGATTGGATTCGACAAGAGTCTCAGCGAGAATAGGCAGCTTTAGCATCAAGCACATCATCATACTGACAGTCATCCGAACGAGAGTCTCCCATTTGAATTCCCTGAGCAAGCTCTCCTCTTCCACGTTGCTGGAAAGGGCTTAGCCGCCTTTGGACAAGGACCCTTGGACCATTTACCCGGCCTCTCTATCCAGCTTTTTTCCTTCAACGACTCTAAGAAATAATGGTCTCGAACATAGGGGAATTCAGATGAAAGCTCCGGTCCTTGAATGAACGACTTAGCCCCTTGCACATTAAGGTGCCTTAGCCTATCCATACACAGCCACACCCAAAGGGGAGCGCCTGCCCAACTATCCGATCTTGTTTTCCCTTTCCGGGTAGATCTTCTCATTGACAACAATAGGTATCGGCCATAACCAAAGAAATTCTTTTTCAAAGGAGGTAATTCGTTCGCTCCAAACACGACTTGCTTGTAATTTATCCTTCAATCCCAAAAAAGCAAGATTAGTAAAGATCTCCTGCTTGCGGATTTTTCCCTGCGCTGATTCAGGAGCCTTCTTCTTTAGTGTAGGATTCTCAAAAAAGAAAAAAAAAACAAAAAAAGAAGCGGCTGGGCGAGAACAAGAAGGGGTCGTCGTCCGGCGGCCGTCTACTAAGCGAAGAGCCGCTCGCTTCCTTTTATTCGCACATAAGATGTGCAGATTAGGGGAAGAGAAGCAAGCTAGCCCCGCCTACCTCCCATCTATATCTATAGGCGGCAATGGTAAGAGCTGGTAAGCATGGTAACAGTATCGGCGGCCGGGGCCGGTGCTCCGCGTTCTATCTAGGTTCCGCTCTTATGTACGCCCGGGTCTTCAATATAAGAACCCGTGTGAGTGGGAACGGATTGAATCATTCATTCATC